AATTCTTTATTGTCAATGGGCCTATTTTCCGATGCAGGCTATCACCTCTTATTTAAAGTTGGCAATTTGACAAATTGCAGCAAAATGGGTTGCAAAGTCCCTGTAATCAGCCAAATGGAATGGTACCCACTCAGTGGATAGATCTCACATATCCAGTTGTCAGTGGTGGCAGTCTATGCAAATGCTTGTCCATCCCTGAAGCCGAAGCAACTGTCACTCCAGTCCATTTTGAAGTCTGTATTTTAAGTCAGCTTTAGCAAAAACAGTGGTCTCTCCCATCTACTTCACTCTGACGCGATTTGCAGTATCACTGGCAATTGTCAGTAGGCAAGATGGGTTGTCATGTAACAGGATGGAGCAGGTGGTTCAAACCCGCACCAACTCATTCCACAACTTCCCTTCCCATCCAACCACATTCTCCTCAAGTGGACAGTGCCCACCACCTCCATCCAATGAAGCAACTCACAGTCTCAATCCTCATCCACACACCTCCCCACCTGCAAATGCAGCAATCTGCTCCGATGGAGTCCCTTGAAATACGGGATATAGTGGCTCCGAATGGAGTTAGCATTAATGAGTAGATCATAATGTAGTCATGTGGCCCATCTTCTCCAACCGCAGTGCGACGAATGAACTACTGAAAGTGGAAGCAAACACCAACTGCTCCGTTTGCCATGCCTACTAGATATCACAGAGCCACCAGAAATAGGAAAGGGCATTTGTTTAATCAGAACAATTGAACTGATATGTGTGTAGAAGAGAGGTGACACGAAAATAAAGAGGGTGTTTATAAGGGCTACATCGATATTCTCCTGCCTCCACAACTTGTTCACAAGCAAATCACCAGCATCACAATCACAATGAGAGCGACCTGAAAGGTAGAGGTGAAGTGTTAAAGGAAATGACTTCACTTCACTCTGTATGGTGATGCTACAAAGGACGGGTTTGGGACTCACCTGCGACAGAATAGCGCAAATGGAAACAATCAACAAACTCTGCATATTTGATGCGGTAAAAGTGACGATTTTGTCTCTGCATCCTGGCACATTGGCCGATTGAGCTGCCTTAGAATCACAAGGACCAGTCGTTATGTTGCAACATTGTATTGCCGGCGGCTTGCCAAGTTTATCTAAAGTAAATGCGAAATTGTATAAAAGGGACAACTGCGGGAGCAACTGTGGCGAATTATTCGCGAACCCACCGAAATCGCTGTAGCCATCCATGCCGCAGCATGTCGGACCTATCTGTTACAAAAAAAGCCAAGTCAAAGGCATATGATTGATGCCATTTTAAACATGGTAGCAAATAAATCCTTTTAGTT